TAAACAGAAAAAATATTTTAAAACAAAGAAGTGTACCGTTTATTATATTATTTTCTGGACGTATTTTTTCATTCTTACTTTAGAAATCCTCATTAATAAATGGATACAACTACAAATTTGTTTTTCAAATAAATACAGTCATAAAATCTCATATTTGGTAATTCGTTATTCCTAAAATATGAATAGAAGATTATTTTATAATAATAATAATACATTTGTGATGTTGTATCATAACAAAATTCATTATTCAACAATACGACATGAATATGCCACGTTACAAAGAAAAATATGTTAAATTTTCATTTGAAACTTTCAAAAAAAAAAAGAAATAAAATAGATAAATCGATCATGACTTTTTCTATGAGTCAATTGAATGTTGTAATTTATTTTGACGTCATACATTTTGTTAACCACTTATTCTGGTTTCAGTCAATAGATACTGTATATCAATAACAATGAAAAATATCATGACTGTGTTGTAAATATAGCTTTGAAAACGTCATTATTTTATACATTGTTTTTATCTTACAAAAATAAATGTATTGTGAGTAATAAATCGTAGTATATGTCACAAATAATGATGAGGAACTATTCAAAAGCTATATAGACAGTTGAGAAAGACGAAAGATGTTTTCGAAAGATTATTTTTGACTAAGAGGAAAGAAAAGATTAAACTGATGTCTAAGTAGACATTCTTTAGAATACATTACTTTTTATTTTAGGAAAAACATCAAATTTTAGAGAGTTTTCTGATAAGTTCAATAAAAAAAAAGCTTTTTAATTTTTTTTCAAATTTGTACAAATTTTAATGAAAAATATTCAAATATCTGTAATAACCATGAAAATTCTGAGAAATTTATATCAGTTTTAGTAATAAAACATCAAACTTCGGGGAAACTTTTAGTGAAAATGTAAGAATTTATTGAACTTTTCATGAAATTCTCAAAAATTTCAATGTTTTTTTACAAAATTTTTTTGTGAATTTTCATTTTACCTTCATAACTTCTACTATAAAAATTTCTTACAAATTTTGACATGTCGTATCGAAATTTTCATGAGATTACGTTAAACTTATCATAAAATTTTCGAACTCATAGATGATCTCTCGCAATAAAATATTTTATAGATTTTGACATTACCTTTTCATCGACATATAGATCTCTACTTTCCAGTATGTTCATTTTAATGTATCAAAAAGACAAAAACTATATCTACATAATTTTTTAACAATCTCTACATGTATATTTCATCAAGCGTAACAATTGTAAAGTATTTAAACGATAGGATGTATTGCTTATATATCGACAATTTGAACGAACAAATACAAATAAATAAATTATTTTCTTTGTGTATTTATTTGAAATAAATATTTGTAAGTATCAACAAATATAAATATATATTTTGTTTACTAATTCTACAATTGCTAATCTATAATCTACAAATTAATTTTCTATGTAAAACAAATTTTTTATTTCAATAGCAACACATTATTCAAAAACAAACACAATCATTATCAAAATACACTTCAACAGATCGATCTGAGACATCTAAAATAGTGTCCAATATTGTAAAAAGTTTTAGAAATATCAACATCGCAAGACCTTGTAAGTAGATTTTTTTTGAATTCTCAAGACGACATTTTATTATGAATGACTTAAGATCTTCTTCAAAGGTTATCTGGATTTAAATATAGGAATTGTTGAGGTCGAAACGTCGTAAAATTTTAAAGTACAAAATATTCGTATATCGTCAATTAATTTTGTAAAAGACAATAGTGCAAAACGAAGAAAAATTACAATTTCAGAAAAAAAAAAGATTTATACATTTACAAAATCTGCAAAAAATTTTCTCCGGATATTGCAAAAGAAGTTTTCTCGGAAAGTATGTTAAATTAAGTGGGAAACAGGAGTACTTTCAAGAAATGTACAAAATCGTCGTAGTACGACTCGAAATTTTCATTTCGTTGAGAGAACGTGAAAGACTTTGGTACAAAAAATTCTTTCAATGTGATATCGAAGACTCTTGTAGGTTTTCTACATGTAAATCTTTTTTTAATTCAATTTTCAATTATTTCTTCTGAAACTACAGTTTCTCCTTATTAGTGTTTTCTTCATTTTTCACTATTACTTCCAACGAAGTTAGTCGGTGATGCATAGATAAAAGTTCTTCATCAATTCTACTATGAACTAACAGCTCGACTTTATACGTTTCCGTCCTTTGTTAGTAAACAAGAAATGTGCACAGAACTTGTGTTCCAACGCAATACGTCGTGAGGCATTTTTCTTTAGTAGAAGATGAAAAGGTTAATCCTTTTCTTATTTCGACTAGGGACAATCATTACTAATAATCAATTATGACTACTATGTTCGTTCTTCATTTATTTATTTAGTTCATTTATCCGTTTCGTTAAGTTTTTGTTTGCACTTTCTTATCAGCTATTATTTTTATTCTATGTTTATCACGAACTCATTTTCCTTGTTTCCTATTGTATAGTTAAAATGTCGTAATATAACGATATTTGCAGTCTTCTTTTAACTAGTTTGTTAAATTTAGTCAAAACATTCCTACTCAAAAAACAGAGATTTTTCAAATGTTAATGTCTTCTTATTTATCTATTCTCAACAGATCTATACTGTATTAAAATAGTAGAGTTTCATATAACCACGTCATTCTTTTGTGAGCGAAGAACGTCAGAACCAAATATTTTCGGTGAGAACTTACCTAATATTCCGAAGAAATAATGTTGTCGAAAATCGATCTGTTAAAATATAGGATGTAGTTCTCAAAAAGTAATGTTATTTTCTGCGAGCAACACTATTTAGTACGAGTACAGTGTATTCAATAAAAAGTTACTTGATTCAGTCAAACCGTTCATGCGCTTTTTTTGGTGTTCTTTCTATTGATACATACAGATTTACAAGATTGAGTTCTTAAATCTATGCTCATATCTCATTGTGTGTAACCATCTATGAGTCGCGATGATTCCAGCCTATGAACAACTCGAATGCTAATATATTCTCTTGGTTTTTCATTTAACAACGTCTTTCTTCGCGCCTTTATCTTGACCGGTACAATGGTCTGTTTTTATTTATTTAGTCTTTTGAATCTCAACTACTCTTTCGTATGCTTGAATTCATGTGTATTTCTCTTTATCTGTGACGCTTTGTCTTATTTCCACAAGATGTCATAGAAAGAAATCGACTAGAAAGTAAAATATTATTAATATCTACTAAATGCAAGACAATATTCTTTACGAACTTTGCATTACAATATAGTACCTCTAAAAAATAACAAAAATATCTTCAAGTCAGTCATGTACGCTGCCATGGATTACTGACAGACACATGCTTGTCAGTCATTCTTGGTTCATTCATTTTTTCATCGTCTTTCTTCTCCTCTTTCTGTCATTTCTGTTCCATGAGCGCAGAAAACAAGAAACTACAAATATCTCGATTCTTTTAAAAGCATACTATTCGATTTGTCGTTCACTTTCTATGGATGCTTTACACAGAAAGTTGTCATTCCCGAACTATAAGATCCTTTCTTTCAGAAAAGGGAATAGTCGAAGTCATAGAATGAAAATGATGAAAAAAGTAATGTGAAATATATTCCTAATAGTTGTCATCTTGCAACGTGAAGTCTTTTCTTTCTCATCGCCATCGCCGGTGCATTCTCTAGTAATATAATTAAGTTATATATAAGAAAAAAATAAACTAAACTCAGTTTTGTTTGTTTCTGCCAATATTTCTCTAGTTCTCCTGCACGGAATCACCTTTACACCAAATGTATCTCTGCAAATCACGTCTGTTGTGGGCTATTTCTTCATGGCTCTTTATGACCGTCATCAACATATGTCTAGCTGTCAACAACCTACCCTTTGTAGCCAGACACCGTTTGACATCCGCTCAATATCAAAGTCTGTTTACTTCTCTTACTAGCCAGTCTTATCGCCTCCTTTACGTCAGTGGTTATGTTTTCAACAACGAAGAACGTTTCGCAGCCTACTTTGAAAAATCTACCGGATCACCCCAAATCTGTCGTCACGGATTGACCAGTGCTCAGTACCAAACGGCGTTTAACAATGCAGTTGCACAAGGTTACCGTCCAGTTCTGGTTAACGGATACACTGCACCCAATGGCATCGATAAATACGTGGCTATCTGGGATAAACCAGCTGGTAGCGTAGCTCCATGGGTGGCTAGACACGGATTGACTGCTGCTCAGTATCAGAGCGAATTCAACAGCTGGGTAGCGAAAGGATACAGACTCAAACACGTCAGTGGATACGCCATCGGAAATCAAGCACGCTATGCTGCCATTTTTGAAAAAGTCGCCAGCACTCCTGCCTGGATTGCGCGACACGGACTCAGTGCCGTGCAATACCAAGCAGAGTTCAATAAGCAAACCAGCCTAGGATACGTTCTTGTCCTTGTCTGCGGTTACGTCGTCGGCAATATCGACTATTACGCTGCTATTTTTGAGAAAAAGGCAAGTAACCCATGGATTGCTCGCCACGGAATGACTAGCAAACAGTACCAAGGCGAGTTTACAAACAATCACTACGGAGGTTTTCGTCTCAAAGTCATCAGTGGTTACACCAAGAACAACGGTGACTTCTACGCCGCCATCTGGGAGAATCCTAACATGAGTGGAAAGGATCTCTCTCTGATCGACAGCAAGATTCAGGCCTATATGAGCAAGTATTCAATTCCAGGTATATCAATTGCAATCACCAAGCAAGAGCGCCTTGTCTTTGCTAAGGGTTTTGGATACGCTGATACAGCCACCGGTGAGAAAGTTCATCCTGATCATCTGTTTAGAATCGCTAGCGTTTCTAAACCCATGACTTCTGCCGCCATCATGAAACTTATCGAGCAAGGCAAGTTTTCACTCAGCTCAAAAGTGTTTGGTCCGTCTGCCCTTCTTGGAACAACATATGGAACTAAAGCGTACGGCCAGCGCATCCTAAGTATCACTGTTCGGCACCTTCTCGAGCATACCAGCGGCTTTTCAAACGATGGTGGTGATCCAATGTTTATGAGATATGACCTAAGCCAAAAAGACTTGATCAGTTGGGTTCTTGATACTCGGACTCCAAAGAACGTTCCAGGATCCACATACGAGTATCTTAATTTTGGATACTGTGTGCTTGGAAGAATCATCGAGAAGGTTTCTGGACAAACTTATGAACTTTTCCTCCGCAATAACATTTTCAAATACACTCCTCAAACCAGCAAGATGGTTATCGGTGAAGATACATTTGCCAACAAAAAGCCTGGCGAAGTCACATATTATCCGAGCAGTGCGTACAATCTCCATGTTCGTCGTATGGATGCCCACGGTGGATGGATTGCACGCCCAATCGACCTTGTAGGTATCATGGCGAAAACGGACAAGTTTAACTTCAAGACAGACATTTTGAGCAGCAGCACGATCACGACGATGTGGACAGGTTCTTTGGCAAACTCCGGATATGGTAAAGGATGGATTCTAGATAGTTCATACAAAGGTCATAACGGTGCTATGGCAGGAACGATTTCATTCTTGGTGAGAAGAAATGATGGTATGTCGTATGCAGTTACAGTCAACACTAGACCTAGCGGCGATAGTTTTGCGTTTGGGTTGAAAGGAGTGATCGATACACTGATTTCTGGCGTGACTACTTGGCCTGCGTATGATCTTTTCTAAAGTAACTTAAAACTTAATGGACATCAAATTTGTATGGGCTATTTTTTCTCATAATGAAAAGGATTGACAGTTGATGCTACGCAGAGAGGTACATATTTTACATAAATTTTGAGATCGATTCTGTATTCTAATCATTACCTTAATACAATTCCTTGTTTTTAATGTCTATATTTTTACAATAAAGTTTACCTATAATTATCGATACTAATCATTTATGAGTACAAGTTTTTTGAAAGAGACCTTGATGACACTTATAAGCTCAATGACTGTGGAGATTTCAGTTACAATTGACAGGAACCAATAGATACGATTATTCCATTCACGAAAGTACGACGATGCGATCTTAGTCACTACTAAAGAGCATGAATAACAAAATCTTGAAACTGCATTGATGAATACGAAAGAATAATCACAAAAAGAGCTCGGCAGCCTATAATGGTTACAATGTGACCAATTGTCGGCGTCAGAATTAACAAGTAACGCTCGTGACTATGACTCGTCTGACGTTCGACTGAATGGTTAAGACTCTTCTATGCTATTTTACCTTGCTGAAATCATAATGATAATATCAAATGTATCCATATATACCTACTACAATACTATTATGATGGTCTATAAAAGTATGGTCAATTTAGAGTTATAATGATTCTCACACACAAAATCGTTATTATATTTGCTTCGTTAATCCTCTGCCATTAATGGTCCTAAAGGGATAATTACCCAATAACAATTGTATCCGTTAGAGTAGTGTATAGAAAAAAAGATCAGCAAAAATAAAAAAGGAGATTAGAATCAAAATTTTTAACGAAGGACAGAATATGAGCAGAATGTAGCGTACTGGTAAAAGATATGATAAAGTGATGATTTTACGAATATAATGAAGAGCCACTACGTGCACTAGAATGTTTTTGGAAACTCAGCAAAGCATCTAATATTTTCCACAGTGATCATTGCTACTGAGTCTGATAAACCATGATTTGATAATCAGTGTAAGATACGACCAAGTATATTTATATGAAAGACAAATCGTTTCAAACGATGAAGGCCACAAATCGATCTGTTTTCTTCTTGCCACTCAGAGCGACCCACATTTAGACATGATTGCTCTAGCAGCAGAAATCCATCCAAGGATGTATCCAATCTCTTGAGAAGTTTTGTCTAGTATGCATAGCATAGATAATCAGGTTAACATTCAACGTAAGCGAATGCGAAAAACAGATCATTCCAATGAAGAGAATGATAGACTTGTTTAAGTGATTTAAATAATAAAAATGATTTAAGCTTGTACGTTGTAAATCTGTGAATAGAGGATAGAGTGCATGGAGCCATGTGAAGAAAGGTAGTACAAATGTTGACAATCAAACATGACGAAGTGTCGATGACATTGATCCACCAAATTGGATCAAATTCATCATAACAATGTGTTGTCAAATTTTCATTTGGGTACGACTAATGAACTATGGGTGTGAGTGTGGATGTGGGTGTGAGTGCGGGTGTAACTGTGGACACGAACGAAGACTCCACACTCACACTCACCATCCATAACCAACACCCACAGCCACAGTCACACCTTCTTCTGCAAAGTTTTAGTTTTTAGTGTTGGATATCTAATAAATCAATCGTTGGTTGGCAATAGTCGTTATTAATGATGTATCGTTATGATCAAACAATCATGCCAGAGTTTTTATCATTAAATATGAGCAACTATTGTTTTATTTCACAATCTTCTTCTGATATGTCTTCTGCTCTGCAAACAAATGATTTAGATGATTGTTCTCTATTTATTGATAGTAGTCAAGCACAAATGAGTATATCTGCACTATTTGGTGTTGTTAGAAAATGTGAAAAGGGAACAGTTGAAATTTCGAGTTCAGATATTTGTGCTTATTTCGATAGTCCATGTAAGAAATAATCTTATTTTATTTTTGTAAAGAACATCATTTATTAGAAAGTAAAGTTTATTCTTTTTTTTTTCTTAGGCATAAAGGGTGTGGATGTCTAATCAAAGTTTTCTCCATACCCACACCCAAAATGCTCACTGTTCGATCAACTACAAACTTAGATTATAGCTATTTACATCGCTAACTGAATATTGAAGTAACGTTCCATTTTACGTAGATATTTCGTGAAGATTAATAAGAAAATTTAAAAAAAAAATCAGTTTTAAAGTAAGTGATAACTAGAAAGAAAAGTCTATTCAAGAGTCTTATTTTTCATCCGTATGAGTTACAATGTCTAGAAGAGTATTTCATCCATAGTTGAAAGATAATTCAAAACGATGATGGTAAGTATGATTCGAATATATTGAAATCTCAGACCAATGCCAGCATTGTTCCTAACACCCATCCATTCATCTATACTTTTAACGCATCCAGCGTTCACAACATTTGGTTGATAGGCTTCAATGGTAGTTCTTGGTGTTGTGTTACCATGAATGGTATACCAATACGTAGTCCCCATATTCTCCATTAGTACCGTATCAAGTTTATCTAATCCTAAGTAATGACCACTTTGCTTATCAGTATACATGATAATCGGAAAGACACCAGTAGCATCAATAGCATGTCCAATCCAAGTTTCTACAGTTAGTGGTTCCATGTTGTTAACTCCCCATTTCTCTGTAATTATCCATTCACCACCAAAATCTAAGAATCGAGAATTGTAATTATATGCTTCACAAATATAATTACAACTTGAGAACCATTTACATGTGTTTTCACTTGAATCATATATAAAAAATCCAGTTGCATTGAAATAATAATAACTAGTACCTGCAGTAAGGATAAGTAATTTATTGGAATCATCCATTATCAATGTCGAATCAGTAACTAAGTTGAATGACTTAGCACCAAATATACCATACCCATAACTACTTGGTAATGGATTAGGTAATTTGCGCGCATTGAGATTCATATTTGGACATTGATTACTATTCTTCTTTTTGCAGATTTGAAAATAACCAGTAGATCGTATTCGTATTCCTGTAGTGAACTGGTGACGTGCTTTACCAAACGGTGGTTGATTATCATTCAAAGTTTCTGGTGCAGGAAAAGGAGTACCAGAGAGAATAACGTCTATGGCATATAATTTACCATCTAAAGCACTAATATGTAACACGACCAATTCAGTATTTGGTTGAGTTTTACAATCTGAAGGTACACCATTGTATTCAGCTGGTGGACATTGATAATTCAAACTATAATTGTCAATCTTGCCCAGAACAGTTAATGCAGCAATTTGTGCATAATATGTTTGATTTATATTCGAATCGATGTAGGTAGTGTAACTTGTAGTCAATCGTGAAATTTGACTCCAACTGAAAGTTAAACAATTATTTGAAACGCTGTTATCTGCGTTCAAATTCAAAGTTGTTGCCATGCAGGATGATGGAATTCGTTGCATGTAGAAATAGCCATCACATAAAACTGCAAAAATACGAGATGCATAGAAGCTCTTGCATGAAACGGATAACACAAATACAAATCATGCATGCACTCAATTAATATGATGGATTTCAATGAAATTTTGCCTGTATGTAGTTTCAAGTGAGATGGAGAAGGGTCAACAATTTTTGATTGTAAAACCGTTCTATTGTTGAGATATTTAATCAACAATAAAGGCACCTTCAGGTAAAAAAACGAAGATAATCAACGTAGTTCTTATGCATTGTTTATTTCAGCATTATTCAATAATAGCATTTTTAATTATGAAATTTTGTACATATATATATACTACCATGGATACTTGACATATCGGCTCACTCAAATTCACTTTTTTGGAGTGTAAAGCAACATAGAGAGATATCATAACTTCTAGATATACTCCTTACTTTGTGAAAAGTATATGAAAAAGTTTCTATCCGATATAAATCAACATATGATTTTCCATTGACTGACCTAACTAAGTTCTTCGAAAATGGCAAAAAACGTTTTGTTTCCTCAACTATGAAGGCAGACACTGGGAAACATTAATAAAAGTGGTCTTATTATTCTCTTCGAACTCTATCGAATAGGAATTTTGAGTAGTCAGGTGGAATTACGCCATGAATCTCTCCATGCTTCAATATATATTTAATGTCGCCAGAAAAAAAAATTTCTTAAAATTTCTGTACATCCTGCTGATTTATATCAGATAGAAATTTAACTCATATTATGAATCAATTAGAGTACTTTAAGCATGAAAAAAAAAGTCATTTCGTGCGTTCTCTTTCAATAAGACTATCTAGTTCACTTCACAATATCTCAAGTCAACTCTTACATGACTTTGTGATCGTCAGTTTATATTTCAAAAACAGATCAGTCTTGCTTTCATATGTCCAAATTTGCCTCAGATCGTCACATCATAAAACTGATTTTAGTCAAATCCATGATCTTTCTGTGGCTAAAATTTCAGTTTTTTAACGTCATCTAATCATGAATGAGATATTCTATCCACAAAATATCGAAAAATGATTTTTTTTTTCATATATTTGCTTGTATTGATCGAGTCATCAATAGTTCATCCTATATATCTCTCTTTTTTTTCCATGAAAAGTCTCTCCATCTGAGATGTATGGATAGTAAAATTTTCAAGCCAAAAGAATATACCATTAACGAAATAAGAAGGTCACAAAAATGTGTTTTTTTTGGCAATCATACTCTTAGAAAAATTTCAATATCTCGAGAACAGAGTCATGCTTTTTCTAACGGCTTGCGCAGAAATTCATCAAACACTTTCGTCTATAGCATATGCAAATACTAGCTAAATTAGTAATCATTGTTTGTATTGAATATGATTTATGTTGAATAGATCATGTATATAACAGAAGACGTTTTTGTTCGGATGATAATTAAAAAGGCAATATTATGAAAATTATTACTAATGTCTAGGCGACAGTAGTACTTATTTTGAAAAATGGGAACTCATAGGTTGCTCATAAGAGATCGAAATACTTATTATAAAGAAGTATGTCTAGAAGTTATGATATCTCTGTATGTTGCTTTACACTCCAAAAAAGTAAATTTGAGTGAGTCGATATGTCAAGTACCTATGGAAATGTATATATATATATATGCACAAAATTTCATGATTAAAAATGCTATTGTTGAATAATGGTGAAATAAACAATTTTAGATCTAGTTCTATAACACAATGATTATTAAGAATTATTTTATTAAAAAAATTGTATTATTAACTGCTTATACGAAGATAATCGATGGTGGTGGTATACATTGTAAGACGTACTTATAGTCATAGATCTAAATACTACGATCAGATTCGATTATTGTAAATACTGTTTCATTGATATAGGTACTCTATTTGTTATCTCAGTTTTTTACTTGAAGATACCTCTGTTGTAAATCGAATATTACAATAAGGGAACAGTTTTAGAAGCTAAATTTTTTGGCATTTTTACATCTTACTTGGAACTACATAGAAATAAAATTTTATTAAAATTCGTGATATTATTTGAGCAGGCATAGTCATACCTACCGTGCAATGGCTCATAGATATTATGAAAACAGATTGAATATAATGGAAACGAACTAACCTGATTCGATGAGAAAAAAAGTCGAAAATGTTAAGAGCATTAACATTTTAGTCTCAAAAATCATGGTCATTGAATCGTGCAAGGATAATATTTACGATTTCTTGTCCTTGGATTTTTTTATTATGACTTTCGAAAAAACAATCCTTGAGTAGTGATAGTGTAATACAGACGTTGTTTTGTGTTTTTTTTAATGGTACAATGCGATATGCACATGCATGAATAGAACTGAGCAAGTAATTATGATTTGGATTCTTTTGTTTTTGCTTACCTGTCGACATTTTTATTGTGTATGCATCGATATTTTTGTTCTTTCGAACATTGAAAATAAATATGATAATATTGTCATCAAGTATTACTAACTAAGATTGTATTCATGAAAACAAAAACATTAAGGTATTTTTTGTATGATTAAGAATGAAAAACAACACGCATCAAAAACTAAGAATCGAAAATATCAGATCATTTCTACTTTGTTATTGATACATAAGGGTAAAAGTTTTAACCGAGTTTCAACTCCGACACTACTGCACTAGTTGTTCTATCTTAATTGTGATTTAGAAAAAAAAAATAGATCGAATTATATGCAACAATACTTTATTGATACTACAACAATAATGACAATTGTTCTCTGATGACTAAATAATGCATTTGCACTCGTAAATAGTCATATATTATTTATCAAAAATAATCTAACAAACCTTCATAATAACTCTGTGTCAAAATCTGATCATCGATGAACAATATTAGAGCTATTATTGTAATACTTTTTGCACAGTGATTTGTCACAGAGTGGCGCTCTTATGTAAAGGTTATACAAAAAAGTGTTGCGCAACAGACGAAATTCGTTGTTTATGAAAAACTTAAGATGATGGGTGTTTTCAAACAGTGAAGGTTATCATGTTCAATTCTTCTTCGTCTTCTTTGGTTTATCATGCTATTATGTCTTGGTGATTGACAATAACTTTTATTTTTGCATCGTCAGTTAATACTCTAATGATATTTGTTGTTTTTCTTTCTTATTGATCAATTCTATTATTCGTTATTCCATAATTCCAGTGTATTGAGTTTCATTTGACTGTTGATTCCGCTGAAATATCATCGTTTGTATATTGATAGCATTTTCTTTATATCGAATATAAACATCCAAGCCAGTTGTTTAAAATTAGGACAGTTCTTGAACGAATTAATCAAAAAGAATTAGCCTTTTTCTTTAAAATGAATTGTCAATTTCAAAAAATGATGATCGATTATGCGGATAGTCGCTAAGTTTTCTTTTGTTTTTTTGATTAATATTAATTATGGTTTTATGAATTGTGAATGATTCGAATGTAAAATCATCAGATATAGAATTAAGAAAATATTAAAATACTTTCTTTAGGTCATTTATATCATTTATTAACGAACATTTCATGACAAATAAATCTTCACAAAACAATATTTTAATTAAAGAAATACTAGAGTTTCTTCGTATAACGAGTGATGACACACTAACAATTTCGATATTTATCAATGCTAATTGTCAATAGACATTTTAATGTTCTTTATCACTTTCATATTTAAATGCTATATTGAATATGCTTTTACTCCATGTATTACATAGAATATTGCGTGTCATGATGAAGACGTAATTATTCTCAATAAATGTCTATATCAGAATATTTTAATAGAAATCAACAAAAAAATATTGCACGCACAATTCGATTTAATCTATATATATAAAGAAGAATGTTTGTCTGTTTGTTCTTCATGCATTTGGACACGGTACGAGCAAATGCTATGAAACTTTCCAGAAATGGTCTTTACACCTAGGGGAAGGTCGACATGTATTTTTTTCCGAAAAAAAACGAATCCTACGCATGCTACAGGCAATCTAGAAAACTGACCAATAGGATTACAGCATTCCA